GGGGGGGGGGTGGGTGGCCAGGCTGAGGCGTGTCTGCAAGGCGAACGCCCTGAGGCTGGACAGCCTCGGCGAATTTTTAGTACTGGTGCTAATCCGAATGGTAGGTTATCCGGGTGGTTGAGAGTGTAGGAGCTGAAGTGAGATTTGCTGCACTTGCTTCGAAGGCTGTCTACAACTCCAAGTAGGTAAAACGGTTTTACAATCCTTTCATCCAGGCCCATTCTGCTGGGGTCCACACCAGGCATCAACCCTAAACCCCTAAACCCTAAACCCCTAAACCCTAAACCCCTAAACCCTAAACCCTACACCCTAAGCCCTAAGAATACTTCTCGTGCATGGGCCGCACATTTGGGAAATGGCTCTCTGCCAGACGGGATGGTGCACCTGAAGCCCGAAGGTCTGGTCCTGAGCTTCATATGAGCTATAGTCACTATAGTCTAAACTCCTTAAAGGGGTTATACAGGGGAATATATTGGGAACTACTATAGGGGAATACTAGGAGTTTAGACTATAGCTCATATGAATTATAATCTAAAAGACTCATAGTATCCCCCCTAATAACCCCCATAATGCTCCCCTGTACAATCCCCATATAGCCCCCCTTTAAGGAGGCTATAGCTCATATTAGCTCATTTGCAGTCTTGCGTTTGGCATACATACTTCTTGCGCCCTAGGCCCTGGGCTCTAAGCCCCCCAGCACCTAGCACCATCAGCAGCGCGTGCCTAAATTCTTCATCCCAAGGTCAGCTGAACACTTTTTCTTCGCATACATATCTGGTAGCCAAATTTTAAAAAATGTTCAGTCCAAGCTGGAAAGTTCCAACTTGAAAGACCTTCTAGGAAACCATGAGCGCAAATGGCATCTCGTCTTCACTGCAACTCAAACAATCTTTTTTTGTGAGCTGATGAATCTGTTTCAGGACGTTCTTTACGTTCTTTGCTCAACTACCTCAGGAATCCGCATTTTCCGTCCTTCCGAGATCTGAGGCCTTCATGCAGCAGCATGCGTCAGCCAGCGCAACAGATGCATATGTAAGTGTTGCACTTTGCACGAAGCATGGCCCAGTAAGCCTAGCGGCAGCTACACCGTCCAGTTCCCTGACCCAGAAGCCTGTCAGGCTCCACGGTCAAACATGAAGTAATAATAGTAGCAATACCAGTCGAAATGATAGTAGCAGTTGAGCTAATAGTAAAAACAATCATAATATCATTAATAGTATGCATTCATCGCTCCATGAGTCTCATTTAGGTTCCCTGCAGGTTTTCTGGGTGAGCAACCCTGTCAAGTCACAACTCCGAGAAGAATAAACAAGTACCGCTACCTCCAAACCTTGAACGCGGAACCGAAACCATTTGCCCTAAATCTGAAACCATCAATCTTGCCACAGTTTTTCGCGCTCAGCCATGTCCCAGCCTCCGAAGCACGGGGGCTGCCAAATTGGCTTCAGCGTCATCATCTACTGCCTCTGCGTGGCAGCGATTCCCATCTACGCCACTGTGCAAAGTTGAGGGTTTGCTGGGATTTAACGGGGGAATTTTATTGTGTGAGGCCAAATGTTGGATTCTGATTAGTGTACCAAAGCCCTCCCGAACGAAATACCATGTAAGAGGTATGACACCCCTAAACAAATGTGTGTGTCGCAAGTTCACACTGAATTCAATGGGACGAAACTTTCAGGGCTTGATAGCTCAGGTATAAATTCAAATCCACCAAAACGCTTTTGGGCCGCGGAACTTCGTGCAAATCAGCACCCCCTGAACGAACTGGGCGGCTGTTGAACAAATCCACCCAAACTTCGCACGGCTCAGAGGCCCTACGCTAGGCGGGATTCAAAATTCAGCCCTAAACCCTAAACCCGGCTAAGAGGTAGGAGCTCCGCACCTTTGAAGTGTAGGGCATTCAGCAGGGCCTCCCTTGCAGCCCCTTTTCAGGGTTTAAGGTTTAGGGCTACGGTTTTCGTGACGGTTTGGGCTTGAGGGGTTGAGGGGTTAAAGTTAAGACAAAAAAGACACTACATAGGAGGCCCTGGGTAGGCTGTGTTGTGCCACCCACGAAGCTCCTGCTTCGGAGTGCCTGCTGCAAGTATGCCAGAGAGGGTTTAAGTTTGGCGGGCTAGTTGGGTCCTGTAAACCTCCATTTACCCCAGTATTTCCCCACATCTCCTCAGATATCCTTGTTTGCCCATATGTCCCCACAACCCCATATGCCGCCCCGTATCCCACACTTGGTCCTTTTGTTGCATGGTACATCTTGCTGGCTGCTTCGCTTGAACTTTGAGCGTAGTCGGCCAGTGAGCATTTATTTACGCTCAACTCCCTTGCATTCAGCAAGGAAGGAGGGAACAAATCCCCAGAGTTCGTACAGGCATCCCCACAACGGCTGCTAGGCTCCCTCCGTTGATTCCCTTCTGAGTGCCGGGGAGTCACACTACTGTTGATACTAAAAATTCTGCATGACCTTAATATACTGTAGCACTATAATTCCCAAGGTATATGGTACTTAGGGTCATGCAGGATTTTTAGTATCCACCGTAGCAAGCCTGGTAGCCTCAGGCTAAGCGGATTTTCGATGGAAGTCTGGGGGTGAAGAAGTTCCCCTACCCGCACCTCGGCTGGCACCCAAAATAGATGCCCCGTTAAGGGTTCTGAATAATTACCCAATAGTAGTATAGGGTACCATATTGGGGGTTCTACTTTCTAGATCCTTCCAGGGGTCTGGGCATGTGTGAGTATGCGCTGGCAATGAACATGCGAGTGATTATATACATGTGTTTGCTTTAAGCATGCTATGTTGTTCATTAGCTGCTTGCAGGTTTGCTAGACTTCCCCCGGCAACTTGCTCAGGTTGTCTGCTCGAAGTTTGGTCCGTAGTGTGAATCGTTGATATGCTGCTATCCTGCACAGATGTTTGGGCTCACGCGGGCTTGACCAAAGGCTTATAGGATTTAGCTTTTAGGGTAGCGCAACATGGCGGATCCGTGATCTGCACTTGTGCAGTCTTTGCAGACATTCCACTTACACTTACCCCCTCAGACTGAGATAGCTGATAGTTGGCAAAACTCTGCAGCACTTTTTGCGGGACTGATGAGGGGCTTCTTGCATGTTCAGATGTGCATTATCGCCTGTAAACATATCCCTATCTCGCCTTGTTAACCATGCCCCAAATGCCTCCAACGCAACGGTGGCAGCCATGAAGATTCAGCAGAGCGAGCCTGCACAGCATGATTCAAGCATGGTGCAGCGGATGCGAAAGTTCTGGAAGCAGGACCACCTATGCGACGTCACCCTGAAGAGTCGCGAGGGCAGCGAGCATCGCTGTCATAGAGTCTGGCTTGCGGCAGCGAGTAAATCGTTGGAAGCCTTGCTTTGCGGACCCTTCCAAGAACTGGACCACATAAGCCAGGGCAAGCCTATCGAGTTTGCTGCCTCTGCCGGCGTGGTCACTGCACTGCTGGACCACATCTACGGCGGCGAGCCGGAAATCACGACTGAGGAAGCGATGGAACTGTGTCTTGGCTACGCCGTTGTAGTTACAACCACAGCAATGCACACATTCCTTTGTTTTTTGTGCAGATGTTGGGTGTAGTAGGAATTGTCGGATCCAAGTATGTTTCTAGGGTTTTTTCACTTGTTGGGAGAAGATAGGTTGAGACTCGCTGGTGCCTATGAGCTGTCCAACTTGTCATCATGCATAGAAGCGTGCCTGTGCAATGTGATGGATGGTGTCACAGCTTTGAGACTCCTGAAGCAGCTGCCCTCTTTGGTGCTCCCCGCTGTGGTGGAGGCATGTGAGGTACACATAGCTCAGGATTTCTCGAGATTCGCAACGCATGCAGATTTTGTTCATTTGACCGCGCTACAGGTGGCACAAATTCTGCAACGAGAAGACCTGCATGTGAACAGAGAAGAAGCTGTTTTGCAGGGTCTTGTGTGCTGGATGAATGCATCAAAAGACGATCGTAAGCGAGACTTTGGGTTGTTGTTATAGAACGTGGATTTCCTTTCCCTGTCAGCTAGCAACCGCAAACAGTTGTGTCTGGCTGCGCAGTCCCTTGGGCCTTGTGGCATTGCAATACAGCAGAGAGTGGAGCAGACCCTATTCCGATACCGTAAGCACCGAGAAGCCAACCCTGCAGAACAGCATTGCCCCAAGCGGCGCTGTTTGAAGCATTGGTCGGCAGAGTTGGGCGCAGATTGTGCGCGCAGGGGTGGGTACAAGGTGTCGCCGGCAGTTGACAGTGCCAAGTTTAGTTGGCATTCTGGTGCCTTCCTGCTCGTTGACGAGTCTAGGCACCAAGTCCTCCGTGGCAAGCCTGGCGAACATGTGTTTCAAGCAATTGCTGGCAGGGCTGTTCCTGTGGATGGAGCCAATGACCTTGAACGAAAGCTACATGCAGTTGCCGTTTCACCTCAGGGCGTAGTTTTTGTTGCAGAATGCGATGGGTCCGAGCGACGCTTGTTTCGCTTTGAGGGCTTGTCTGGCGAGGTCTTGCTGCAGACTCCAGGTTTGCTAGACGTATGCTGTTCGCCAAATGGCATAGTTTATGTCTTGGATGATGACGGAAGGCGCGTGCAGCAGCTCGAGGGCTCAAGCTTGAAGCAAGTGGTGGCTGCGAAAGACGATTCCAAAGACGAGGGTTTTGATGCGCATTATATGTATGTATCTGAGCAGGAAGTCATTTACCTAACCGACTTTTGGAGCAGCCGTGTATTGAAGATAAGTCCAGGTAGCTCACGACCTGCTGTCATAGCAGATTTGAGCACAGACCCTGTCGACGAGACTTGCTTGGGAGGCTTGTGTGTGACTGAGGATGAGACTGTTTATGTAGCTGATTCAGCGACCAACCAAGTGTATGTGGTGAATTCGGGCGACACAGCAGGCTCGACATTAGACCTGGACTATGCAGATGATGGTCCGGCCGTGGATGTGCAAGTTTATGAAGGATCACTTTACGTTTTGCACAGTTCTCGCTTTGGGGTTGAAGCGCCGGAAAATCCTTCGGGTGGCGTGTACCGCTACATACTTCCTGCGCGACTGGATTTCGATTCCGAGAAACCATCGAGCTGAAGCAGCTGAGGTTATTCTTTCGGCATTCTTCAGCATCATGCGACGGTTGGGGTTTCACCTGACTGGTTTCCGAGCAGTTGCTGGATGTATTTGCGACGCGCATAGCAACTCTAACATAAGTCCGTACTTCAAGTGAAAGCGGTCTGCGTTGCAGCAGGTGCTTCATTGCGCTGCTACCCTATGCTTGCAGGCTGCTGTGATTTAGTATATCCGGAAAGCGTAATGGGCATTGGTCTGTAATGGGTAATGACAAGTAGGGTCCCCAATCCAAAAAATGTCAAAAAAGTTTCCCAGCGTGATCTCCACATGACCAATTCCAAGTAATGGACTTGCAACGTTTCTATATGATTGCCATTTGCCGATCCCTGAACCGCCTTAACCCGCAAGCATGAACATGTCTCAGGGTGGTCCTCAAACTTATCTCCTTGGACCCTAAACCCTAAACCCTTACAAACTGTTGTAGACTCCTTCACAGTCTTACTTCAACTCTAGGATTCGCAGGAAGGCATTGCTTAGAGAAGTTCGGAAGTATTCCCCGTAATATTGCTTCAAGGGAGTTTAGGGTTTAGGGTTCCTGAACATCAGGGCTCTTTTGTTGTTTTGTAGTTCATGCCTCTGAAGAGCTTTGAAAATCGAGTAACCAAGTCTTCAGGTCCAACGCGCTTAAAAGATGATAAGATCCCTGGCCCTACAACCACTAACCTCGGGAAATCCCCAAACAACTAAACTTTACTAGCAAGAATAGTCAAAGTAGTGACAAGTCAAAAGGTGGAAGGAGAGTTAGAGCAGCAACCACGGAAGTAATTGGATTGGAAACAATATTAAGAGAACCACAAATCACAATAGACACAATAGTAATATTAATCGAAATAGTACTAATCGCGGTGGTAGTAGCAACAATAAATAACAACAACAACAACAACAACAACAGCAGCAGCAGCAGCAGCAGCAGCAGCAGCAGCAATCATGCCGACAATCATACATGACCAGTCTCCAAGGTTAATTGAAAAAAGGAACGGTTTAGGGGGGGCTGAACTGCCAGACTGTTGGGAAGTTTTGGCTTCATGGACAACGGAGTGCAAGATGTCCAGAAACCAAACACCTGTTTCTTTCGGTGGAAGGTATCAACAGCATTGCTCCTTGTTTGGTTCAGCTGCGTTGAACGGCACGGTATAAAGAGGTAAGATGCTTAAGTCGAACTCGAAGGACGTTTGCTTATGCAGATGCGTCAGCTGAGCTCCATAGATTTGGTTGTTGAGTTCAGCGTGCAAGGAATCTATGTAGTTACTTGCTGGACATATTCGTCAGCAACAGTGAAGCTACAGCATGTTCAACGGCATGAAGGACCCTAGCATAACCCAAAATCCCAATGTATCATGCGAGTCGTGACTCGATTGTTATGAATGATGCAAGTCGGGGACATAGGGATTTCTGGTGTTGGCAAGGTGCTTGGCAGCTTCGTTTCAGCTGACCGCGGCCTCTTGTTTGCTGCTCCTCGTCCACCTTGCGCTGCGGGCTGCTGCAGGCGCACTGGGCCACGTGGATGGCGAAAAGTATATGGATGTGTGTGGAAGAAGCTTGAGCCTAAAGCTTTTACACGACCAAGTTGAACCCAGCACATCAGCGGTCGGAAGTGCATGGCAAGTGCTATCGAGCCCGGATTTTGCTTGCGTGGTTCTAGGAGTTGGTTCCAGGAAAGGCGTCAACTTTTTCCCTTCGGATTTGGAAGCTTCCAGATTCCTCAGCCTCGCAGCCCATCTTGGGACATGAACCCGAACGAGGGGATCACCTGTGATTTGGGCACCATCTCCGTAATGGCACGTTTTTTGAAAAGAGGGTTTAAGGATCAGCCTGCTGCCTCTTCTCTTAGGAAACCTGTTAATAACTGTTGTAATATAGCCCCAAGAAACTATTCAAAACAATGTTTTTAACATAGGTCTAAGGTGGTTACAGTACTATCATTGGCGCCGTTAACGCCACCATCACCACCTGTGCTAACGCAATGACTACCTCCCGGCCACTACCCCCACTACCACTTGTCGCTTTCATCGTTAGGCATAATTACATGTCGCTAAAACAAAATGGCACCGCAGTTGCCATCGTTGTTGGATAAGCATGCGACTCACTGGCATCCATTCTTCCCAGTACCCTAAACCCTACACCCTATGAAACCCATCATAGTAGTTTCCATTTTCTTTTCCATTATCCCTTGGGTCTGTTGTCATGGGTCCCCAGTGGTTCCAAACCTAGATCCGTGGAGGCAGCTCGGAGGAGTCGTGGCTCTTTGGCCCCCACTTCAAGTTCCTGGGTTGCTGTTAAGGAACTTAAATTAAGTTACTATATTGGGGGAACCCTATTATTTACTATATAAACCCAATATGGTAACTTAATTCAAGTTCCTTTACAGCAACCCAGGTTCAAGCTCAGCTACGTGGCAACCCCTGGGATTGCGTTCGGGCTGCGGCTGGGCTGTATTTCTGCGAATTATTCTAGGAGGGTTCAGGGATTGGGGACTGCAGGAGCTACTCTAGATTCAGTGTTTGGCTTGGAATTCCAGGTTGAGTGCAGCGTGCTTTCATAGGCTCATTTTGTTGTCAATCTCCAGGCGCTGGGTATAATCTAATGTACCAAGTCTGAGCCCATCATAGATAGGAGTAGAATGCCAGAACTACCGCACAATCTTTTTGGCAAGAGAAGCCACCTCTCGAATTCTTGCCCTGCCACTGACACGAAGGAAATACGCAGTCACAAATGTGGCCCTGTCCTTGGTTGACAACTCCACGCATGTCCTGCTGGGCGCCACAGAGATTGTTTGGGTGCTCATCCTGGCAGCTAGGCTAAAAACCTTAGAGTTCAGGGTTTCGGGTTTCCTATTATAGCAGTTTCCATTTCATTTTCCATTCTCCCAATATAACCCCAAAATACTAATTTTTGTATTTGCCATGATCGTGTCTCCCATCTGATCATCTGCCTGGACACTTCAACGGAATACTTTCTTGAATTCAGCTTTTTGACTAGTGCCGTGTCCAGGGTTCTATTAAGTGTCTTCTCTTAGCCTCAGGACCACGCACTTGAGGGTGCAGGGCTTATGTAGTCCCAGGCTGCAACCCATGCTCTGAAATTAGAAGCCTGCTCCTTCAACCTGCTCACATCCTAACATCAATAAGATGATGACCCATGCTCTACCAGTGTTGCCAAGCTGGATCCAAGGGCAACGAGCATATTTGCACAGGTTTCTAGTTCCAAGCAAAGCATCCAGGCATCACTGGTCAACGGAGAGAAGCTGGGCATTCTCGAAGCTCTGGCCGCTTCAGTGAGTGTCGCTGGTAATTTCATAGTTGCCTGGAGCCTGGCCAAGGGCATCCACGCCCCATTGTGGCCGCTGCTGCTTCTCGGACCCTGTGTTTAGGAACTCTTGTGAAACAACTGCGTGCAAACCTTTCTTCTTTGTTGTTGATTCGATTGCGTCACTCCTCATTGTTTTCTGCTCCTCTGCATGCTACACTTGTGCCGCTAATCAAGTATGGGCGGCTCTGCTGTTGGAGTGACTCTTTAACACATTTCCCCTGACTTGCTGGGTGGTCATTTCTGTTGTTTAAACAAGGGTAGGGCTTGTAGGTGCTTAGGGTCTTCACCCTAATAGTGGGCAATTAAATGGAAAAGAACATGGAAATGGAAGCTGGGCTTATAGAATGATCCCAATTTTTTTTCCGATCCCTACACCCTGAACCCTATAGTACTTCGCATTTTTTGTATTTTGATACTTTAGGCCAAGCCTGAAACCCTATGTAAACATTATATAAGCCCTAAATTAAACCGTCAGCCCTCAGCTTCAAATTGGAGGTTAAATCTTGTTGCCCCATTCGTGGGGGCACTTTGCATCTGCACTCTGCGCCGGAGCGTCGAGCGGCTGATGGATCCCGAGACTCGGCTGAGCTCGGCTGGATGAGCTCTTGTGCAATGGGCACGTACTGTAGGGTTTAGGGTGTAGGCTTTAGGTTATAGGGTTTAGGGTTTAAGGATACTGGCATAACAAGAATATGGGAAGACCCTGATAAAATCAGCAGAATGCCGTACGATCACGATTACTGGGCGGGGGGGTCCACCTAGCACATAATCTAGAAGCCTACATGTTTACCAACATTATGGCCCCGGGGCCTGTATATAATTTTGAGGCCCCTACATTACAATATCACCACCCCCCAAGATGATGAACCCCCTACCCCAAGTAACAAACATTCCCCCGAATATGTGATTGTACTATTACTCTATTGGGTATTGATTCTTAGTGGGGTCGGCAAGGTATTGTTAGCGGGTGGAGGTCATGTTGCGGAAATGCTGCCCTCACCTCAGCTCGGACTCTCTGTTTGGAGCTGTTGGCCTGTAGACGGGGCTCTCTTTGGGCGGGAAGTCAGGTACACCACCGTTCCATGTGAGCCATAATCTGAATTCCTTTAAAGGGGGTTATATAGGGGAGTACTACAGGGGTTATCAAGGGGGATACCTAGGAGTTTAGACTATAGCTCACGTCTCTCACGGGTTGCAGGCTGGCTTTGAAGTTTTTTGAGGATAGGGCTCGGAGGTCAGTTTCTGCTTGCGGCACACATCTTTGATGCAGGATACAGGAAAGCTCGGGGGCTTAGGGTTTAGGGTGCAGGCGTTGAGGGGGTTAATGCACCTTCTGTTTGTATTAATGCCAACTTGTCCCTAGGCCCTTGAACGACTGATTTGACAGCCAGGAGTCCTTGATTCCTGGAACTGTAGTCTTCTTAGGATTTTTTAAGTTGTTATCATATTATAACCCTAAGGAACTATTAAAAACAATATTCTTATTATAGGTCTACGGAGACTGCAGGAAATCGGATCTTGGGCCTGAAGTTGCAGGAGCGTGAACCTGAAACTAAGTATTGGTGTTATATAGGGATAATGCCAACGGTCTCACCCCATAGCCACAATTCACGGCAAGAGACTATGGTCTTGAAAA